AGGAAGGTTTTAGTTCATTTAAAATAAAAGGGGAAGATGTTTAGCCCTGTAGTAAGCATGCTTACCCCCAGAGGGGGGAATCCAAAACCTTGATCCAAGGAGATGGAGTCTTGGTATTATCGAGAAATTTTGGGGTGGGAGTGAAAGTGAGAGGGGTAATCCAAAAATTTGATCCAAGGAGATGGAGAATTTCGAAAACCCCATAGGGGGGATCCAAAAAACTTGATCCGAGGAGATGGAGTCATGGTATTGTCGAGAAAATTTGGGGTGAAAGGAGGGGTACCCAAAAAAAACTTGATCCAAGGAGATGGAGAATTTGATTTCGAGAAATTTTTGGGGATGGGGGGTGAAAGTGAGAGGGGGAACCTCAAAAATTTGATCCGAGGAGATGGAGTCATGGTATTGTCGAGAAAATTTGGGGTGAAAGGAGGGGTACCCAAAAATTTGATCCAAGGAAATGGAGAATTTCGAAAACCCCATAGGGGGGAATCCAAAAACTTGGTAATATTGAGAAATTTTTGGATTGGGGGTGGAAGAGGGACAATCCAAAAAAAACCTTGATCCAAGGAGATGGAGAATTTCGAAACCCCCATAGGGGGGAATCCAAAAACTTGGTAATATCGAGAAATTTTGGGATGGGGGTGAAAGTGAGAGGGGGGAAACCTTAAAAACTTGATCCAGGAGATGGAGAGCACAAGAAAATGAAATTCAAAAAAAATTCAAAAAAAATGGGGAAAAAAATTCGAGGCGCGGGGGCGATCCGGACGACGCTGCAGAAGGCGCAGCAGAAGGCGCGGGCGGGGGCTCGCGAAGGGCGCGCGGGGCGGGCGGCGGGCGGGCGCGCGGGCGGGCGCGCGGGCGGGGCGCGCGGGCGGGCGCGCCCGCGGCGCGACGGCGGGGTCGCGAAGGAGGGTCGCGAAGGGGGGGGGTCGTGGGTGGGGGGATTTGGGTTTGGGGGGGGCAAGGGTGAGGTAGTCTCGAGGGGGAGGTCATGGTCAAAACCGGAAGTAAAAACCTAGGTGTGAAAGGTGACCCTCCACCGCTGGTCCTAGACCGGATACACCGCCCTGTAGAAGGCCTAAACCCGGGTACACCTCCCTGTAGAAGGCCCCTAAACCGGATACACCGCTCTGTAGAAGGCCCTTAAACCGGATACACCGCCTCTGTAGGGAAAATTTTGACTACTTATATATATATATATATATATATATATATATATATATATATATATTATATATATATATGTATGTATATATATATTGTTTTCAAAAAACGCTATGTCTAAAAAAGTATAGAGATCTCCAGTGAATACTAGAAAGGACTGCCCCTTCTAGCATCCAGCCTGTTACTGGGTTTTTGTAACAATTAGTCAGTATCTGGTCCAATTATCCATTAAAATTTTTTAAGATTCAATAGTGCTTCAGGATTACAACTGATAGGTACTAACTAAAGAAATTAAAATTTGTAAGTTCATTAATAACAATAAAGGTCTTCTAGGCGTTAATATCAAAGTAAATTAAAATAATCAATTGAATATAATATAGGATACAGTTCCTACACTTCTCTCGTGTACAGTATATTGTGCTGAAGGCCATATCACATTATTATGGCTTTTAAGTACCGTCTGGTACATTGTTAGCATTTAATAACATAATATATATATATATATATATATATATATATATATATATATATATATATATAAAATATATATATATAATATATATATATATACAAGTAAGTTTGTGTGTATGTGTGTAAGTGCTCTATGTAGTTCGCTATGTCTCAAGACTCGACTAGACTTAACCAGTGACTGACTAAAAGTCCTCACATAAACTAACTTCTTGACCAACCTGGCAATCAGAACAGCTTGCTTGAGCAATAAAACGACTGATAAGCCGAACAACAATATAACAAACAACAGTGACACAGAATCAGGAACAAGGAGATAATATAACGACATTAAGTAGGGACCATCTGCAGATCCTCCACAAAAGTCACAAAACTCCCATACTACTGAATCTAATTTCAGCATTAGAAAATCCCGGACTGTGACAGTACACAGATACCAGTACAAGTTAGGTCAGAAGCTACAGCTCAGGACCTGAGTTTCTCAGAGTGTCTATGCGACACACAACCTCAATACAATGTCGAAAATCACTAAGTCTAGACTATATTCTGTGAACAGTTACACAGAACCAACAACAAGAAAGCAACAGAGACGATCTGCCAACAAGGGCCCACAAGGGAGAGCAGTTGAGGGACCTCTTGTTAGAAGCACGTCAAACAGACAATAGCAAGCACAGGCCAGGCAGACTACTCCACGTGAGGTGTGATCACCTCCTCTGATCACGTGACTCCGTAGACTGCTGCTGCCCAGCAACATAGAGAAGCCGGCAGCGTAACG